TATTTTACATATATAAGAGAACAGAGAAAAAGGGAAACAGAAGTAATTTGTGGTTAGACTAAGCAAATCCTTTAATCTCACCTTAAAGAATTATTTGATAGAACTCAGTAACTGATTGTAGATAAGACAGAAGAAAATGAGACTGAGACAGAGACAGAGACTGAGAAAGGGAGGGAGGGATGGAGGGAGGGAGGGAGGGAGGGAGGGAGGGAGGGAGGGAGGGAGGATGGATCAAAACTGACACATTCTTAACATGTACTCCTGGCTGCTGATGCCACTTCTGCTAGTCATCAGATGAATACAGTCAGTACTAAACAGCTCATTGTGATATGACCCATACTATTTTATGAAAGTATTGGGTAAAAAAACATCATTTTTTCAGAGCCAGTATTAATAGCAATGCCCACCCTGAACTCTAAAAACACACATTTTTAAGTCTCCAAATTTGAGCCAACATTTTTAGACTCATTTCGTAAGTGCAACATTGATGTTTTGAAAGCATGTATGCCAGCTAATTGGCCTTAAGTTCCAAAGTAACCTGCCAGTACAACCCAATATGTTTCTGCAGTATAATTAAGTCATATACAGATCCCCAGGAGTTGTTTTAATGACCACCACCCAGGTATGACTGTAACCAGATGGCGTGACTCACTGTGTATGTCTGCCAGTATGCTCCTAACTATGCCTCAATCTTGCAAATAGTCATTTGTTCAGTTCAAATACCAATCTGTGCTAGATGAGTAAGAAAGCTCATTTCGTTGATTTATTAATTGTTGTTCCCCTGTTGAGAGAGAAGCTGCTTAAAATACTTTAATAAGCTATGGAAATGTATGTGGTTGTTAATACTACTGTCAGAAAGTAATAAAGTTAATTTGACATTAGGTATATCCTAAGCCTAGTTATTTACTAAAAAAATCTCATATTTCATAATATGAAAATTACACATTTAAAATCTAAAACAGAAGATGCTTTTAGTAAGTTAAGATTCTACAAACTGTTGGCTCTTGGACACCTATGTTCATTCACCCAGAGTGCAAACTCAGCTTCCCTCTCCCCCTCCCCCTTCCCTTTCTCTGTAAATAAATGTTAGACACAATAGTTTGTTTGTTTGCTTTTTCTTAGAAATCCACAATCCCAAGATTCTTACAATACTCAGGGCAATCATCTAGAAACCAATATTCAAGTAATGAAGCGATCGATGCACAGTGGGACCAGTGATGAACAAACTAACAGCATAAGATCCGCAAAGATCTGCAATGCCCCACTGCAAGGACAGCAGAGTCAAAAGATTAGCCCACAAGAAACAAGGAATGAAAAACACTGCAGAGACCCTCCAAACAATACTGTTCTTTAATAGCAAACACGCCAAAGCAGGGCCTATAGTTACTGAGGGCAGGTGTTCAAGATCAGCCTGGACAATACAAAATGAAGACTATGGAAGCTCCCAGATGTCTCTGCCTCTGGTTGTGCTCTCCCTCACATCTACAGTAAACCATCTCCTCCACCATACCTAGGAGCCATGTTCTTCCTTATTTATGTCCTTTTCTTCATTCAATAGCAAAGCTGTTGACAAACCAAGAACCTCCGGCCATAAAATATTCCGATGGATGGCAGGTACTGGCAGAAGAGGCAGAAATAAATACAAATTCTAACAAGACTAACTGGGCACTCTTGTTCAGAAGAATACTCAATAACTGCTGCCATTGTTTTCTGATGTGAATGTGTCTGTGTGTGTGTATATATGTGTGTGTGTGTGTGTGTATGTATGTGTGTCTAATCTGGGTTACCTATCAAGTGTGGGATGTTGGGCCTGTAAGTACTGACAGCTGTTTCAAATTTTTTCTCGGTTTTTGTTTTGCATCAAAAACATCAGTTAA